TGTACAACTTAATAAAGATAGCCAAATATTATCTTTTTATCTTTATTTTTCTCTACCTTCACACTTAATCCTTTTTCTGTAAATACTTATGTTGTAGATCTTCAATTTGACATTAAGATGTCTTATTTAATACTTGAGATTTCCATATTTAAATAGTTGATTTATTCCCTACTGCTTTATGCACCATAGTTACTCAATGGAAACTTGTTGAAGAAATATTTAGTTGTATGAACTTCCATATGTAATTCCAAGCCAACTCATCTTAATTCTGTGTGTTTTGTGGTATTAAAACTAATTATCAGTGGAGACATTTTTAAGTTCATGATTGAATACAGGGTGAATGCAAAAATTCTCATATATAATTTTCACTTTATTTCAGAATAAATCTGGAAAAGTAAGGCTAACACATGTCACTGAAGAGTATCATTTGGCATATAAATTTTCTTATTTGTCTGAAGAAGATACTCTAAAAGGCAAAAACTGAATAATGAAATAGTTATAAAAGAGTAGTCAGAAGAAATATAAATATAGGTATAGATTTATTTTCAGTGTAATAAACTTTATTACCACAGTGTTAAAATCAGAGAGCTATAAATCAGAGAAAGATTAAAAGGATTCTCAGCTCATCTCTGATCCAAATATTATATTAATGGTCCTTTTAAACATCTTTTATTAGATAAATAGTTGTGTTATATTGGGAGTGTACATGCAAAAATATTGACCAGCTGAAAACAGGTGAAAAAATATTGTGGGGTAGATGGGAAAATATTTTGAAAAATAATACTAACTACTGTAGCAAGCTCAAAAATGTTACTGAATAATACCATACCCTTCTCAGCATTAAGTAATAATAACAGTAATTTTACTATTAGTGTTAATAACCTATATTTACCCAGTACATTTTCCACAATTTTCAAAGCACTCCTCTTCTTTCTCTTATCTGATATTTGAAGCAATCTTGTGAGAAATGTGTGTCAGATGTGTATATATATGTGTGTGTGTGTGTGTGTGTATTGCAGTATTACAATGGGTACAGAAGATTAGAAAAAAATAATTTTCAGAATTCAAGAAGAATTAGTGAAAATAGTGAAAATTAAGATGAAATCATATTTTAAAATATCAAGTATTGTTCCTACTATTCCTTTTATGCAAATCTTTACAGTAAATCTTGTTAATGTTTCAGAAGGCAAAAAAGAATTTAAAGTGTCAAATAAAAATGGATACTGTGGTACTATGAGTGTTTTTTTATTTTCTTTTATATACGTAAATAATTTTTAAGCATATTTTGTGATTATAAACTATGTGAAAACATAAACAGAGCATGTTGCTTTTATTCAGTCTCTCAGTCATGTCCAACTCTTTGCAACCCCATGGACTGCAGCACGCCAGGATTCCCTGTCCTTCACCATCTCCCGGAGCTTGCTCAAACTCATGTCCATTGAGTCAGTGATGCCATTCAACCATCTCATCCTCTGTCGTCCCCTTCTCCTCCAGCCTTCAGTCTTTCCCAGCAACACCGGTCTTTTCTAATGAGTCGGCTCTTTGCATCAGGTGGCCACAATATTGGAGTTTCAGCTTCAGTATCAGCCCTTCCAATGAATATTCTGGACTGATTTCCTTTAGGATTGACTGATTTGATCTCCCTGCAGTCCAAGGGACTCTCAAGAGTCTTCTCCAACACCACAGTTCAAAAGCATCAATTCTTTGACACTCAGCCTTGTTTATGGTCCAACTCTCACATCCAAACATGGTGGTGGTCGCTTAGCCTCTAAGTCGTGTCTGACTCTTGTGACCCCATGGACTGTAGCCTACCAGGCTTCTCTGTCCATGGGATTCTCCAGCCAAGAATATGACTACTGGAAAAACCATAGCTTTGACTGTATGGACCTTTGTTGGCAAAGTAATGTCTCTGCTTTTTAATATGCTGTCTAGGTTGGTCATGGAGCAAATGTCTTTTAATTTCATGGCTGCAGTCACCATCTGCAGTGATTTTGGAGCCCAAGAAAATAAAATCTGTCACTGTTTTCATTGTTTCCCCATCTGTTTGCCAAGAAGTGATGGGACTGGATGCCATGATCTTAGTTTTTTGAATGTTGAGTTTTAAGCCAGCTTTTTCACTCTCCTCTTTCACCTTCATCAAGAGGCTCTTCACTTTCTGCCATAAGGATGGTGTCATCTGCATATCTGAGGTTATTGATATTTCTCCCAGCAATCTTGATCCCAAACATAACAATACTTAATGAGAATCTTAGGATATATTCAATAATATCAAATTTAATAAAGTGTAAAATACATATGTAATTTTTTAAAGTGTATATATGGGAAATGTCATAATATATACTAAATAATTATGTAGTATGTATTATGTATATATAATAAAGACTTCCTAGGTGGCTTAGATGGTAAAGAATCCACCTGCAACGCAGGAAACCTGGATTCCAGTCCTGGGTCAGGATCCCCTGGAGGAGGAAATGGCAATCAACTCCAGTATTCTTGCCTGGGAAATCCCATGGACAGAGGAGCCTGGCAGGCTACAGTCCATGGGGTCACAAAGAGTCTGACATGACTGAGCAACTAACACACTTTCATACTACGTAATTATAGATGCAGTATACTATATACTGGGCTTCCCAGGGGACTCAGTGGTAAAAGAATCCACCTGCCAGTGCAGGAGATGCAAGAGACAAGTCTATCCCTGGATCAGGAATATCCCCTGGAGAAGGAAATGGCCACCCACTCCAGTATTCTTGCCTGGGAAATCACATGGACAGAGGAGCCTGGAGGGCTATAGTCCATGGGTGGTAAAAGAGGCCGACATGACTTAGTAACTAAACAGCAAATGTTTTATAAATCATACAAATATTTCTATGATCCACATTTCCATGATGGTATCAACCACTGAAGAGATGCTCAGCAAATATTTGTTAAATGAATGAGTAAATAGAAACTCAATTGGAGCCATACTATAAAATAAGCATAGTTTGCAAAATCCTAAGCCTGCTACAAGGTAGAATTAAACATAATGAAGCTTATACTAACTAGATATGGAAGATTTACTGCCTACATTCAATGAAGAATGGTCATTACTTTTAAACATGCTCAGTCAAGTGGCAGAAGTTTTGAAAATTACCTGGTTTGAATGATGGTAATAAAAATTCTTCAAAATATTTAGAGAATAATTGACTCAACAAAATAAAAGAACATTTAGAGCAAACTTTTTTTTTTAAGTATTTGGAGCCAGTTAGCCTGTGAGACTCTTAATAAAGGCACTCAATTTCTCATATGTAATATGGAAATAATTTATCTTTCTTGATTGTGCATAATGACTGTTAGGGTTATATCATCCACATGAGCTGAAAACTATCAGGTATCTAGTGGAAGCCATAACATATAAGCACTTCCTCCTTCCAAAACAAGAGAATCCCAATTAGAGCAGGGATCATGGAAGAATTGGAGAATTCTCATGTGCTTCATTATTATTCTAGCGTACATAAAGACTCCCTGATCCCTGTTTTCCAGTCTTCTTCACAGCTGCAGTGTAGAGCTGAAGTGTTTATAAATCCCATGTCATCCTTAGCTACAGACCCAGAACTGATGTCTCCCATCTAGAAAATGGAACAGGACGTGAGGATCACTCTAAGGAGTTAGCAGTAGGGCTTTTATATTTATGAGGGTTTTGTCAGCTGAGGGAGGCATCCAGGCCAGTCAAAATCCTTTATTGCTGAATGAAAGCAGGAACAAGATTAATAAGAAAAAGGCATAGAAGGTAATACATTTCCACATACTTTTCTCCATGGCTGGCTATTGGGAAATGTCCTTCCTTGACCAGTGGGTGCTCTAATGAGGCACTATGGTTCCACTGCTATCAAAGGCTTATTTATGTGGTAAAATTCCTCTTTAAGAAGTAGTTTATGATTTTCCTTCCAGTTTAATCCACGTGTCTAAGCCATTAAACTCGTAAACTTCTTTTTACAATGCATCAGTTAAAAGTACTCTCCAGTCAGCTTTTTTGTTTAGGTTGAATCTTCACTCTGTCACTATTAACTGTGTGATTTTGTTCCTATTCACATGTCACCTTCTTAGAGAAGTCCCTCCTGAGCTCTCTAAATAAAGTAGAACTCTCATTCTTCCAAGTCATTCTCTATCACTTCACCCTCTTTAATTCTCTTCCTAGCATTTACCACTATCTTATATTAATTACACATTTATGTCCACATCCTTGTCTCCTTTGCTTATTGCTATATCTCTAGCATCTTCAGACATATCTGGCACATGGTTGGCATACAGTAAATATTTGCAGGATGAAATAATCACTAATTTCAATAATGGAGTATTTTCAATTCTTTTACTCTACTAACATTCCATTTACATTTTCATGGTTATTTCCTAGCCATATGTCTCCAGCAAAATAGTCTTGTGTGTGCATGCTAAGTCACTTCAGTTGTGACTGAAGTCACTTCAGTTTGTGACCCTATGAACTGTAGCTCTTCTGCCCATGGGATTCTCCAGGCTAGAATACTGGAGTAGGTTGCCACGTGCTCCTCCAAGCAATCTTCCTGACCCAGGGATTGAACCGGCATCTTATACATCTCCTGCATTGGCAGACAGGTTCTTTACCACTAGCACCACCCTGGGAAGCCCCAGAATAGTCTTATTCTACCTCTTATTCGTCACCACTTTGATTATTGTCTTAACTCTGGAAATTCTAACTGCAGTTATATTGCGTCTGGCTTTCTAAAGATAAAATAGCCTAGCCTTCATTATCTTTGACGGCAATTTGCTTATTCCAGAGCCCAATAGGAGTTAAAAAAGAAAACTAAGATATTTTTCATGGTCTTAAATTTTCTTTATTACCATAAAATGTCTGATTCTTATGTAGTCCCACCTCAAAATGCATCTCTCACTAAGGGTAAAATTTAGAGAGGGTATTAAAATTAAAACATCTTTCTAAGTTTACACAAGTGATGACAGTAGTATAATGTACTTTGTTTTTCTTTTAGATCCCCAACTAAAGAAATGGATTCAGAAGAGAAGGAAATTGTGGTTTGGGTTTGCCAAGAAGAGAAGATTGTCTGTGGGCTAACCAAACGCACCACCTCTGCTGACGTCATCCAGGCTTTGCTTGAGGAACACGAGACTACATTTGGGGAGAAACGATTTCTTCTGGGAAAGCCCAGTGATTACTGCATCATAGAAAAGTGGAGAGGCTCTGAACGGGTTCTTCCTCCCCTAACTAGAATCCTGAAGCTTTGGAAAGCATGGGGAGATGAGCAGCCTAATATGCAGTTTGTTTTGGTTAAAGCAGATGCTTTTCTTCCAGTTCCCTTGTGGCGGACAGCTGAAGCCAAATTAGTGCAAAATACAGAAAAACTGTGGGAGCTCAGCCCGGCAAATTACATGAAGACATTACCACCAGATAAACAAAAAAGAATTGTCAGGAAAACTTTCCGGAAACTGGCTAAAATTAAGCAGGACACAGTTTCCCAAGAGCGAGATAGTATGGAGACATTAGTTCATCTGATTATTTCCCAGGATCACACTATTAATCAACAAGTCAAGAGAATGAAAGAGCTGGATCTGGAAATTGAAAAGTGTGAAGCTAAATTTCATCTTGATCGGGTGGAAAATAATGGTGAAAATTATGTCCAGGATGCATATATGATGCCCAGTTTCAGGGAAGTTGAGCAAAAACTAGGCTTGGAATATGATGAAAGGCAGATTCTGGAGGACCTGAGAGAAAGTGATGGAATTGTACAGCTGGAGGAACGACTGACCTACTACAGAAAGCTCATTGATAAGCTCTCTGCCGAAATAGAGAAAGAAGTAAAAAGTGTTTGCATGGAGATAAATGAAGATGCAGAAGGGGCAGCTGCCAGTGAACTTGAAAGCTCTGATTTAGAGAGTGTTAAGTGTGATTTGGAGAAAAGCATGAAAGCTGGTTTGAAAATTCACTCTCACTTGAGTGGCATCCAGAAAGAGATTAAATACAGTGACTCATTGCTTCAGATGAAAGCTAAGGAATATGAGCTCCTCGCCAAGGAGTTCAATTCCCTTCATATCAGCAATGCAGGTGAATGCGAGCTGAAGGAAAACAGAGGAAAGGAATCTGAGGTGCCCACCAGCAATGGAGTGGTTTCTCCTTTTACTCAAAGAATATTTAACATGTATACCAATGACACGGACTCAGACACTGGTATCAGCTCTAACCACAGTCAGGACTCGGAAACAACTCCAGGAGATGTGGTGCTGTTGTCAACGTAATTTAAATGGCTTCACTCTGACCTACTTTAATATCGTTTGTGTTTGTTTAATTTAACAGGAAAATTTAAATATTCCACTCTGGAGAAAAATGTAAATAATGTTAAGGAGTTCAGTAGCTAATAAGAACTAGAGAATTTTGTTTGTTGGTTTGTTTTTGATTTAAGAGTTCCAGTGTTATCTAATTATTACAAGTTCAAACAATGAGCTGTTTATTAGAAATGCAGCAAAAATAGCTTGTAGGTATATAACAGAGAAATAATTTGATGTGAATTATAATCTGTTTCTATGAGAAGTGATTTATTCAAACTTCAAACCAATTCTTAATATTAGACATCAATATATTGAAACTATATATGTGAACAAGTAAAATTAAGATGTATTGTTATAGAGTTTTCAACACTGTTATCATTGGTATTTAATAATCTGTAAAGTACATGAGAACTCTTATATTGTAACTGTATTAATTCAAATCCTTGTTCATTTCTTTGCTATTTAGAATGTATATCATCTCTGTTACTTCCTGAACCCCTCTACCTGTTTAGGTTTAGGTTACAGGAGATGGAAGGGTCGTTATTGGGACATGTACATATACCATCAGTGGATCAGACAGGGGTATAAATAAGAAAAGCCAAGTTTTGCAGACAACAGCAGCTTTCCTAAAGAAGCTAAAAACTAATAAGAGATAAGTATGTACTTTCTCTATCTGATATGCAAACCTTTAGATCAAACCAGTTATCTGTGCAGGTTCATTCTTTTAGTGAGATATGGTGTGGGTTACAGAGAAGAATCACAGGGTCATAGTCCTATTTGATTACACCTTATCTAAAAAAGTTGAAGGGATGTAGCTTGGGGTCCTTTGTGTGGGTAAAATAGAGCTCCATGTACCTTACATATCCCCTGGGGGAGGGCATGGCAACCTACTCCAGTATTTTTGCTGGAGAATCCCATGAACAGAGGAACTTGGAAGGCTACAGTTCATAGGGTCACAAAGGGTCAGACACGACTTAAGCAACTTGGCACACATGAAAAAACACCCATAAATATTAGTATTTTTCCTCTGAAAATAGAGATAGGAACTCATGTGAACAAAAACCTTTTATTCTGCTACACTATAATTCAGATTGTCTTCATGGTCCTTCATCCAAGGTGCAAACTGAAAAAAAAAAGTAGCTCTATTGTATCCCACTCTCAAGAATGATAGTAAATATCCAACAAATTGAATAGATGATTTAGATTCTGTCTTGACTGACAATTATTATAGTGCCAGAAGAGGCTTGGTTTGGCTTGGTTTTTAGTCAGCAAGTTCCTTTCTTTCTCTTTCTCTCTCTTATCTCCTTCTTTCCCTGCCTTATTTCTTGCTATTGGATACATGACATAATCATATTAAAAAGTGTTTTGTTGTACTATTACATGAATACAGCTGCAGTTCATTTTTCCTTTAGCTAACACCTTTCTCATATGTGAGTAGATGATTATTTTACTTAGTTTTAATATGTGGATATTGGTTAAGAGTCAGTATTTCTCATTTCTTCCCTTTTTACCTTTATGTTTACTGTACTATGTGTTTTAACTCAGTTTCCTAATCTTTTTTAAAATTTCTCCATCCTCCAGACATTTTGCCAAGCTTTGGGAAGATATTTAAAATTTTCTTAATATTTCAGTTTTGGGGAGTATCTAATGTTACCATTTTTCATACTAAGATACTATTGAAGGCCTTACTTGAAGTTGCATGGTAAACACCTTATCTGAAGTTGCATGGTAAGAAAAGTAGGAATTTCCACTGTAGGGAAAGTATGCTAGTAAGTAATAACACAAACATGGGTTTAATTTAAAAGAAATAAGAAGGGAATTGAATAGTCATTTAAGAAAGGAAAGTTTATTTGCCTAATATCTCATTAATCATTCAGCACTATGGAAAGCTATTGACATATTTATTATTCTCTTCTGGGGATTAAACTCAGAAGATCACCATCAAATATAAAACAGTTGTAGTGTTGTTTTTCAAAAGTAATATCTTTAGATCTCTTTGGATTACTCTTTAGTGAGAAAAGAACATTATTACCTGTTATATAATTTGATTATCTGAATCCAAATCTGGTAAGAAATAGAACTAGTTAGATAATGCCATTTTAGAAACTTTGCATTAATGTCTGATTTTATACAATTAAGCATAGTGATGCATTCTAAGGGCCAATTCTTCTATTTTTACAGTAAATAATATTAAAAACTCTTGTCAGAAAGTAAGACCATTGAGTTTTAAAATCTCATTAGAATTTCAACTTGTTCTGTTGTTATACAAATGTATTTGTGCCTTTGATTCATTACAGTATTAAATCATCACTTACCATGGTGAATCTCTAATTTAGAATAATATATTAATACAAATAAAAAAATACAAAATGCAGTGCCCTCATCTCTGGATACTGAGCTATGCAAAATTAAATGAGAATGTATATTCTAAATTTAGAACTTGATAGAAACTTTAGTATTTTAATTATTTATAGAAGCTTTAAAATAAAATGTTTATAAATTCTTGAGTAACCTAACAGATTAACTATGAAATTGTTATATGAAGCTAGAAGTAGCAAACAAAAGCTGACTATTTTTCCCTATAACAAGACAGATTTTCACAGAACTGTGTTCATTCTCCCACTTGAAATGTCTTTTTTTCTTCCATCTGCTATATACTGAAACACCATCCATTTCAAGCTTTTCAATGTGTTTTCTCTTTCTATGAAGCATGTTTTTCTGTTCGACCATTGTAATACTTTATCTCTGAACCCACAGTTATTTTAGGTGTATTTTTCATAAAGGAGCATTTATATCTGGTTTAGCTTATATTTATTTGTGTACTTATCTAACTTCCCTCCCTCAACATATTTTTATTGTCTTGTTACTTGGACTGTCTTGTTAACCTTACTGCCTCTAATCAATCTTTTTGTCCCTACTCAATTCTGGAATTGAATTGCTAAATTTTAGAAGATTGTAACTTTAAAAAAAATATTCCTATACCTGGTAAATGATACCAGTGCATTTTATACATAAAATATGCATTTTAGCAAACTTAAAACATTAACAATTCTACTTATAAATCCTTTGGAAGAGAGACTACGTCTTAGTGTCATTATGAAAAAATGTTACTGTAGTATCAATTTTCTACTTTATTCTTAATTCACAGAGTTACCGATTACAAACAATGGGAATATTTTCTTTATAAAAGCTCATCAATGGTTAAATTATGGTGTTTTTCACTGCATCCATTCATTTAATAAAAAATATAGAGCTAGGTTTTAAGAAATACACAAAATAACTTTGAAATATCTTAACTATTTTATTTTCTTTTTCATTAAAAATATAAATAAATGGCCTTTCATTGGTGTGTAGAAGCTATTTTAATCCATTAAAATTTTATTTTTATATTTATTTAAACATTTACTGTACATGACAAAATATATTTCTGTGGCTGCATTTTATAATTTTACAAGGTAGGATTATTATTTTAATTGAAATGTATTTTTCCTAAGACAAAAGGAATACCTTTTAATGTGATATAGATTTCTTTTAAATATTACGCTATTTCTTTTCATACTACCTGATTGGTTTAATAACTTAATGTGACAAGTACAAAATACAAACAATTTCTTCAAGTGTAACCAGTCCAAAATAATAAAAGGAATAGTTGTATACTTTTGTGTGATATTGTTTGTCTTTTTGGGTGTGTTACCTGTCTATATTAAAAACAAATTTTTTATCAGTTGAAATTATATAGATGTCATGCTAACTCACACAAGTTAATATCAGGCATTGATTCATGACAATATTAATATAGAGCAAAATGATCTAACAAAACTTTTTGTTGGGTTTCATACATATTTGTTTCAACATATCATGAAAGAATGTCCTCATTTTTATACTAGATGGCTGGTTTTATACTAGATGGATACTAGATGGCTATCTTACTTTCTATAATGAAATCCAGTTAAAAATAAAAATACTCAAGTATATATCTACCCTGCTATTATTCAGTTTGCCACTACCCTTATTTCTCAAAAAACAGTAGTTTTAATTACCTTTAATTTAAGAAATAATAATTTGGAAAATAAGGAAACTCATTTGTATTGCTCTTAAAAGATTGTATATAATATTTAGTAGTGACACATAGGAATAAGTTAACATTGTTTTCTTAGCCAGTGTAATTCAATAGTGAGAGAAAATACACAGTAGTCATTTTCTTAACCTAAAATTAATTTGTGTTTTCAATAACCTTTGGAATTGAGAATCACAATTTGTAAGGTCCATAATGAATAGTTTCATATAAGGAAATGAAAAAATAAATGCCTTCATATTTTTTTAAAAAAAGGAATTTATTGAATTTTTCCTAAATACAACTATCAGACACATTTTTATAGAAGACTACTAAGTCTCTCCCTACATCACATACGTATATATATAATGTATTGTAATACCATTGAGTTTGTTTTCAAGTAAAATAGACACATGATATTCAAATTATTATTATTATTATTATTAAAATACTCAAAAAATGTGTACCAGGAAAAGTAATTCTCCCTTCTATCCCATGACTTAATTATTCAGATATCCTCCTCAGAAATATCAGTTATGTATTGTTTTAGAGATAACCTATGTGTGTGTATATACATATATATATACATACACACACACACACATATGATGTTCGATGGTAGCAGGGAATTCCACTATATCAATTATAATTTTATTTCACTAGTCCTCTTCTGATAGACATTTAGGTATATTCCAATCATTTATTATTATTAACAGTCATTTACTATTATCTCATCAATGCATTTCTGTTAGGCTAGATTGCTAGATATAGAAATACTGTGTTAAAGAATGAAAAATGGATTTTTAAAAATTTACTGAACATAGTTAATTACTCTTTAAGGAAATTAACTCTTTAAGAACTGAATTGGAAACATACTCATTCCTTCCACAGTGTGTGCTGTTTATTTAAATGTAAA